TTAAATATATTTTAATAATATTTCAATAATATTTTAATTATATTTTAAGTATTTTTTAAATATGCGTATTTCTTATAGGGCAATGCTTGATATAACCACAAACAATGATTTTTTTTTTTCGCCATTGAAAAATGCATGCAATAATAAATAAATAAATAAATAAATATTATAAATTTAAATAAAATATAAATAAATATAAAATAAATATGGAGCAACGGAAAATAAAAACCAATAATCGAAGAAATAAGGAAATGGGGCACCTTTTTGCAAGATGAACAAAAAGTGACAAAAAGTTGGTAAGATGAAACCAATTATGCAAATTTCAAAATTTCAAATACAAATAAAAAAACAAAGCAAAAAATAAACTTAGCTAAAAAGATATAAAAAAAACGCTAAGGTCACACAAAAATCATTATAAGACCTCTCACGGAAGAATAAAAATAAAGTAATTGAAGATGCATAGAATGGAAATTTTAAATATTTTATTAATTTACATATATTTATAATAAAAAATGATAAATACTAACAATACTACTATTATCAAAAAAAAATATGATAATCATTATTATTATTGTTAGAACGTAAAATAAAATATATATGATAAATCAATTTTTAAAATTCTTTATGTAATTTATATACATACTGTATATATTATTTTTTGATACATTGTAAATTTAAGTATAAATATATGCGAGTTTGAATTTGTAGTCGCTTGTTCTTCCCTTTGAATTAGTGACATTGGCTTTCTTCAGATACACATAAAAATTAAAAATTTATATAAATATTTTCTTGAACAAAAAAAAAAAAGACTTTTTAAATATGTCTTCTCCTATTAAAAATATTAATTACCAAAATATTTTAAATGTACGAATTCCAATTTCTATTAACAACCAAAATACTGTAAACATAATAAAAATCCAATTTCCATCATCTATCAGAGAAGATGAAATCGTTGAACTACATTTAAAAAATAAAATTAAGAACGTTAATCGAACTATGAACGCGTTTATGATTTATCGAAAAGAATTTAATCATATAGTAACAAATTCCAATCTTAAACTCAAAGATATATCTAAATATGCTGGCATTTCATGGAAAAACGAGACGGAAGATGTCAAAAACTATTACCGACAGATGGCAAAAGAAGTAAAAAAAATTTTCAAAGAAAAAGTGCCTCCTTATTTCGTCCCCAGTAAGCAAGAACTTAGTATAAAGGACATTCTGACTATAGATGATGATGAAATTATTAGTCATCTTTCAGAAGATTTAGCTTTAACTTATAGAGCAATCATTCAATCATTAACATTTTAACGATGAGATCCATATTACAAATATTTTTATGCTATTATATTAAAACCAAAAATTATTTTCACTTCCTACGTGTAATATTATCGTTCATCAACTATCGGGTTTTATTTATTTATTTTAATAATGATATGTTTTTTATTTCTTTACTTTCTTAAAAATTAAAAAATCTTTACCTTCAACAATTTACCAATATTTTAGTTACAATATATTAAAATATATTATTTTTCTTTTTACAAAATTTTTTTGGTATTTATGACGTAACGTATTTTCAGTATTCTGAACTGGTTCAGATAATCAATTTTTGCAAAGCTGCATTGAAAAAACGTTGAAAAAATATTTTCTCATTTAAATATTTTTGATACTTCTAGAATTTTGTTATTGTTTTTTTTTTATTACTTTAGTACAAGTAAAAATGACTTCGGGCGATTAATTAAGGTTATCCAGCAAGTCTGGAATCATTAGATATTAATTTTCGCGAAGCTAGTTTACAAATACATTTGAAAAACGGACAATCAGTAGACTCACGAATTTATAAATTATACTTTTTTTTTTTATTTTTTTATTATTTTTATATTCAAAATTTCTCAACATAACTTTTAATACATATTTAAAAAAAAATAAGTGGTTGTATGTGACAATAACTAAATTAATTACTAATCCGCCAATGAATTGGAGTACATCCGGAATCTAATTTCCCTCCAAGCCAGGTTTAAATTTAGATTTCATTTTTCGTATCACCTTGAGAAAATAAATTGGTTATGATTTAAATTTTTTTTAAAATAAATTTGGGATTGTCAGAGTATCTTATTATAAATTATTAAACTCAAAGTTCTATAAAGTAACCGTAAACATTCTCAGAATTTATTTTAGAAAAATTTTATTTGTCTGGGTTGAAAATTAATCTCTATTCGTTTTAAAAATCCAAAACTCTATGATTTTTTTTTTCACTTTTCTAATGCCTGAATTCTTTGCGCTGATTTGTATTTTTTTATACTGTACGCCTGCGTGAAGTCACAACTTTATTTTTATAAAGAAGCAAAAAAATTTTTTCCATAATAAAAGGTTCTTTAATTCAAACAGAAATACTAAAGCATTATGTTTTAATATCATAAACTTTTTCAAAAAAAAAGTAGTGAAACGATAACTAATTTTATACATACAGTACATTGCATTTTTGTTATCCACCACGCCACGTTATTCTTTGTTTATTCTTTATTCGATATAATGAATAAGTAAAATAATTTAAGTGAATATCATAGAATCTCTTTAAGGCTGAAAAAACAAACATTATTTTTTATTTGTACTATCAAATTTTTTTTTTTTTTATTTGTATATACCACTTTTTTTTTGTTCTTAAATTGTATACATTATTTCTTGTTGGTTTTTTCTTCTTATTGTATACATTTTTTTTTCTTATTTGTATATATTCTTCCATTTCTTTTTTGTATATGAACGGAAATTCACATTGATAGATAAATTAGTAATATTAATTTAACCTAAGAAGCTGCGTCTTTAGAATTAGATATTTATTAATGATTATAATTATGATAAATAATGATATAGTAATTTTTTATTAGTAATTCTCGATTTGTATAATATATACATATATTTCTTATTTTAAGCAACAATTTTTTTTCCTATTACAGATTTATTAAAGTTTACAGGAAAGTCGCCGAAATTAATTTTATCTTAAATTATTAATCGTCCTGTGCATATACATATAGGTTTAGACATATGGATATTCACCTAGCACTCGGTTAGCACTAAATTATTCCCTGTGATTGAATTTCACTTAGAGATGGGTTAGTTAACATAAGTAATATAATTTTATATTATATTTTGTGTAAAGTTTAACTAATAAATTAAGCTGCAGCATTATTTATTTATATATATGTTGTTTATATTGTGTTTTTATATGTATTCTTTACATTTATATTTTAGTTCTAAACTCCATTTCTATAATTATTTAACATTAATATAATTTTTAAAAAATCTTTTTCATAAAACATTCAAAAAAATCTTTTTTAAATTATTTTTCTTTTGCGTATAATGTCATTTAATTAATATTAAAAATAATTTAACGCATTTAAACAATAACTCCATTCCGAAGAGTACTTTAAAAACAGGAAAATAGAAATTTCAAACTTCGATGGCACACATTGACAATTTTACAAAAAAGTTTTCTTTTCGCTTAACATTCACATTTGTTGTTAACTTCCTTTTTTTTAAGGGTGTATGTTTCAGAATTTATAAAATGTAACGTAAATTCTTTAATAATTTCTTTAATTTAATTATTTGAATTATGTAAATTAATAAATAATAATTAAAATTTCCTGGTAATCGTTTGGTGGAGAAAAGGAAAGAATTTAATATGAGCAATTGTTGTAACTTCTTTTTTTGTAGTGTGCATGTTTGTAAAATAATAATGTAAATAAATAATCAGTATGAAATTATCTTTCCGAAGATCTTGCTCTAACTTATAGAGTAATCGTTTAATCATTTCTATAATTGTTTCCATTGAATAGCAAGGAAATGAATTAATTACTTAATATAAAGGTTACATTTGAGAAGTAAAGTTTACTTTATGAAAATTTAAAATTTAATAAGTTTATTGATTTATGATCAAGAAAAATTTCAGAAAAATTATCACCGAACATTAGATATATATATATGTATATATTAGATTAATACAGTATTAGACTTTAAATTTTATATCTCCAACATTTCTTAATAAATTTAATAAATCAAAGCTTCCATTAATTAACGCTGTTTTTTTAGTATCAAGGATACCATAAATTATGAATAAATTATTCAGAGTTTTTTTCAATAATGTTTTGTAAGACAATTTGTAATATAACGCTTTGTAGATAATCGGAAAATTGGTTCGTTTAATCATAATGTAAAGCGGACTTGAAGAAACGTTAATATCTCGTTAATATCTCGTTAATGTAGTTGTACTGTACGTGACACTATAATTAAATTAATTTGTCCTTCTATTTGTTTTAAAAATTCATTCACTCCAAAACTTTCCAAAATCTCGAAGTTTATCTAGACATTTTTTATTTATGATTTTTTTTCGCTTTCTCTGATGACTGAATAAAATTCGAACTTCTTTGCGCTAATTTTATACTTTTACATTGTGCGTCTGCGTAAGTTAATGACTGAATTTTTATATAGGTTTAAAATCTCTCGTAAGAAACTCTCATACCTCTTTATTTATTCATAAAAAATGCAACGCCACAGATACATATTGAAAAAAGTAAAGTAGAAAATCTTTAACAAGAAAAAATCAATATATGATTTGGAGGCAAAAAAAAAAAAACTTGCTAAGAATACACGAATATAAAAAACAAAAAAGAAAGTAAAACCCAAAAAAGAAAAAGAAAATAAGATTGGAATAAAAAAAAAACTTTAATTTATCTTTTGGGAGTAAAGAAAAAAGAAATTTAGCAAGTAATCAAGGAAATGGATAGAGCAAAAAAAAAGACAAAAAAA